TGGCCTCTAAAAAAAAGCCTTGAATAAAAGGCATTTACTAGTGCCTGTTGGGAAAGGATCATGCAATAAATAACCTTTGTGACATGGCTTAGGGTTCACTTTCCAAGGAAACATGCAGTGACTTCAACTTTGTGTCCTGTAAGAGGCACTGGCTCGGAGGGGCTGTGCCCAAAACGGCCTCTCCTCTTGAGTCTGTCTTTTTTTTTTTTTTTAGCCAAGATTGGTCCACATTATGCCTTTTCAGAGACCTTTTTGTCTTTAAGGCAAGGATATGTGTAGGTGATAGCTATGGTATGGCCAGCCCTGCAAAGCCCAACTGTCCCCACTTGCTTCACCTTGCTGCCCCGTATCACTATATCTGAGCAGGTTAAAGGGTGAATGAAAGTAGCTGTTTCCTGCCTGCTGGGAATAAGGAGGGTTTACAAAAAAATCCTCCAGATGTACATTGGCATGTAGCAATGCTTTACAGAGCAGAGAAATGGTGTACTGGCAATATGTGTATGATTCAGGCGTCTTACATCAGTCCTTCAACTGGTTTTAAAAAAAACTTTCCACCTCGTAGGTCAAAGAAATTCAGGGGTTCCCCTTTTTCTAGTCATTGTTCACATGCTCTCAGAAGGGCAGGGCCAGGGGGTGTTTACGTTTCCTTGAGACTGTAAAATATTGCCTCCAACTCCTGCTTGATGAAAGTGGAGATAGTGAGTAAAGACTCAGCTCACCTGAAGTCTGCATTAGCCAATTGATTCCAGCAAGTTTTTACCCCTCTTTTGATCATAGTGCAGCAGTCACAGAGGGTGAAAACACCTTTCATTTCCCATAACCTGCTGAATATAGAGAACAAATTTATGCTATATATTGGCAAGCTACAACATGTAATGTATGTAGAGGGCTGGGGGTTCTTCAGACCCAGCTAAATTATTCAGTGGTTCCATAATGGTTGGCTCCTTTATATCCAGATTCACAATGGAGTATATTTAATAGCTGAGCCTGACTAGTTTAAGAGACTGGGAAGCTTTTTATAATACAATCAGCTTTTTTGTGAGTCTTTCTATGTATTATATTAGGAAGATAGAAGTGGCAAAGCCTTAGTAATCTGCCTGACTATTGAGCACCAGCAAACACATGGGTACAAAGTGGCTCAAATAACTTGCAATGCTCTATGTTGTCTGCTTTGGTTAAAACAGAGATACAGGAAATAGTTTACTGCACTTCTACTAATGTGCAGAACTTGCTGTGCAAGTTTAATATTTAAAGATATGAATAGTTTGATAGAAATACAGAAACTATGGAAGGAGAGCCTTTAATGTCTCGTGTCTTGCCTTTAGGAACAAACTTTTCCACTAACTGCATTGAATAACATGAAGGACTTACTGAAGATTTGAGTTTTATGAAACACTTCTGTATCTTATCAGAAACTCTACAAGCAAAGTGCAACGGCAACATTTAGAACAGTGTGTCCATCAACAATGCTTCTACAATTTTAGTAAAAGCAATCTGAGAGGAAGGGCAGAGTGAGAGTTATGCAAACCCGAACAGTAAAATAGCTTGATCTCTTGAGTAACTTTGGTGTGATAACAACTCTGTGTGGCTTGATATGACTGCTGGTGGGTGATGGGAAATCTTGGTGGGGCTGGAATCCCATTCTGTTGAGTTCTGCAGATCCAGTTGGTCTGTTTTAAGCCTATACCCTATAACTACGGGATCTTTTCATAGCAAAGAGAAGGGATGCAAGCATTTCTTGGTCTCAGAATCACTGGGGCGAAATGCAACTGCAGCTGGTGGCAGAGGTCAGTGGAGCAAGCACTTAAATCAGCTCAGGCCGTGAATAGCTGTGCACTGACTTGCATGTTGGCGCTATTCCTCTTTCCCGCAGACTACAGCACACCCGACCTGACCCACACTTGTGGGTTTTCATGGGCATTAGCCAAAAATACCTCTGGTGTTGGCTGCTGAGGTGGATTGCATGAACACATATGATTTCTACATTGACATTGGCTGCAGGAAGACAGAGACTGCAATTCCTCTCCTCTTTGTTGTAATGCTGCTGTTGTGGATCTACATACACATGCGAACATACAGTATGGTATGCAACAAGTCTTAGTTTCCCAAGTATTGAACCTTTTTTTTTTTTTCCTATCCACAGATTTAGCTATTACAAAGCCAATTTCTTCTATCAGATCTTGAGAGCTAAGGGACTAGAGCATCCTTGTGGTTATAACAGGACTTAGTAAGAGGAGGAAACCCCTAAGCTGGAAAATGCAGCAGATCATAAAATCAGAGCAATTAAATGGAGAAACCCTCAGCCAAAGCAGATGTGCTGTTGTAATACTGACATATCTAATCTTTCTGCAGGGTGTATGCATAAAATCAACAAGTGCACATGGGAGCCAGTAGCTGCTGTCCCCCTGTTTCTGTGCTATTCCCCTTAAGACATGCCATTATTCTTTCTTCTCCATGCATCTCTAACATGGAGAATGAGTTCGCTATTTGCAATGAAGCAGTGATCCTCAGAGAGACTGAATTTAATAATTTTGCAAAAATACCCACTGGTGCTAACAAAAATATTGAACACTGAGCATTTCTGCCATGAGTTTAGGGTTGAGTGCTCACTGTGCTGGACTGCAGTGGGTGAAGGACTGCACACAAGAGTCGCAGCAGGGCTGCTCACAGCATGGGCGTGTCTCTGTTGAGAAAGACTGCCAAGTTTTGTTTCACTGTGGTCAACATGGGGTGCTCCTTCTGCTCTCAGAGACCAGGATTCTTTAGGTTGCATTTTCAGGATTTCTTTTTCTCTGTGCTTTTTGAAGGCTTCCCCAGATCACACTTCTGTATCAAGCTAGTTAAATCAATGGAAACAAGTGTCTCTACTTGGATCACAGCTGTGGCCTGCTGCAAAAAAGGATTTGACCTTTATACAGCTATTTGTTTTCCCCAGTTGTAATGAAAATGGACACACAACAGTACTAATGGCTGCATGACCAACAGCAGTGCACATGATATTACAGCATAGGTTGACAAATTCAAACAATGACTATTTTGTCATGGGAAAAATAGAGGAATACTGGTATTTCATTCATGCAGATGAATTTATGGTGCGCAAGTCTTTGCTAAGTCACCAGTTGTGCAAGTATGTGGAAACTGTTCATGTGGTCAGCGTGATGATAGTAATAGATTTCATGGATCATATTTCTGGCAGTGAAATATATTTGCATAGGTTCAGTAAGTCTTTTAATTGTGTCAAAGATCGATGACATACCACGATTACTTCCAGATGTCTACAGAGAGTACTGATTCTACAACATAGGATCACAGAACATCTCAGGTTGGAGGGGACCTCAGGAGGTTTCTGGTCCAGCCTTCTACTCAAAGCAGGCCCCCTCTGCGGGAACACCAGGGTGTCAAGGGCACCAGCCATCTGGGGCTTGAAAACGCCTCTGGAAGGAGGTGGCACAGCCTCCCTGGGTAATGTGAGTGCATCTGGTGTGCTGTACCACCCAGCATGAACAGTGGTGCTCTGTCACTCCTATCCAAATTGCTATTGTAATATCTGTTTCTAAAATCAATCCCTTTCCTGATAAAGGTTGCTCTGATTGTGGCTATAATATATTTTGGCCTCAAATCCATTGTCATTGTTCTGCTGGCCTCTTAAGTAAGCTAAATAGATTTTTAGGGAACTAAAACTGTGTGCTGAAATGTTCTGCCATGTCTTTTGTACAGGAATATTAAGAAAAAATAAATACATTGAAATCAATTAGATAAGCCCCCAGCCAGCTCTGGTGAGTACAGAGGTGGTTGGTAGCATAAGAGGTGACTGGAATATGCTTTGTGGTGTGGACATGCCTCTATATCAGGAAATAAGATGCACAGGCTGAACTCCTTTCAAGACAATATTTTTTTTTTTTTTTTTTTTTTTTTTTTTTTTTCCAGAGCTGCTTTTCAAGTTCATGTTCTGCAGTCTATGAGGAAAAAAAATGAACAGACTCTTTCTGCTTCATGCTGACATGTATTTATGGGTTTTCTTGGACATGCCTGTCAAAACTCCTGCCTTGTTGTTCTTGCCTCAAAAAACAGAGCAAAAATATCCTTTTTCTACCCAGGCTTTGCCTGGTGTATGTATGTGGCAAGCTGTTCATGGCAAGGATTTCTCATTACTTGCAAAACAAACCTTCCTTGCTGAGAACAGCTGTGGTGAAGAGCAGTTTCCTGAGAGCCAGCGAGCTGTCTGCTGCTGCCTCAGGACTCAAGTAAAAACTGTCCCAGTTTGAAGCTGGTGAGAACATGAAGGTTATGGTGCTCCAACAGATTTAGATGTTTTTTTGCTCATCTCTAAAAAAGAAAAAAAATGTTTAAGGAGTCCTGTCCACAGCATCTTTAGAAACCACTTCTCTGTACATAACTTAATTTAAGGAGGCTGTAGATGTAGCAGCTGCCACTGGACTCAGTTATGCCTATTGTTCCTTCTAAAGTCTTCAAGAATAACTGCTTGAATTAAATATTTTTTTCCCTTGACATAGGCATGATGTAAAAGAAGTGATTTCCTAAGACCATGGAGATGACCAAGCTATTCTTATTTTGTCTTTTTTATGAGTCAGTTTTATTGCCTTTAGTTCAAGAAATAAACTGAAATCCACCTGTTTTCAATCCTATTTGTAGAATTATTTTGTATGAAAAATGTTGATTGTGCACAGTATAAACAAAATGAAGGTGATTTATACTAGCTACTCTAACAGGAAGTGTTACAGAACGAAACATTACAACATATTGCTCAAGGAAATGAGATTCAAGTCAAAATCATTCTTCTGATTGCAGCTTTTCTATGATGCTGACATATTGCTTAAAAATTGTGAAAGAGTTGAACTTTCTGATTCTGTTTTAAATTTTCTGATTCTGTTTTAAGCCATTATTTTTAAATTATCTAATTCACTTGCACTATGTATTTAAAATTGCACAGCCAGGAACAGGATTGTATTTCCTTTCAATTAGCTAGTCTAAACTGTAATTTAGCTTGGATTGGCATGACATTTAGGAAAGGACTGCTGGGCAGCCTTGCTAATGCAGGTATTCCAAACATAATCCACAACATGTTGCCACTGGAAGCATGATTATTCATATAACTGAAAGAATAATGAATTTCTCACAAGTTGGAAGAAGTTTCAGGTCAATCTGAAAAACATTTTTCAAGTTAATGTAAGCATGACTGAATTTGGTTGAACACTTGAAATGTTAGGATTTCCTAACTTCCATGCTAGGACTTCTTTTTTTTTTTGCACTTCAGACAGGAGAGTGTTTCACAGGGACACGCTTCAAATGAAGTGCAGGCACATGGCCCTGGACCAGACTGCTGTGATGTGGTCAGGGAAAGCTGCGAGATGAAGGGGGTTCCTCCACCTCTGCTCAGGAGCTTGACTTCCGCTCAGGCCCTCACCCTTGGTCCTTCACCTGTGCTGGACCATGTGCTGCCCTGCTCCCCACTACAGGCTTGTCCCAGCCTTCCCTATCTCTACGGACTCATCTGGTAAGCTCCAGGCTGTGGGTGACCCTGGCTGCTCCACTCACAAAGTTGAAATTTTTTTTGCATTGTGCTAAACTGTGCATATTTCTTCAGCTTTGTATCATCAGAGTTTTGGCCATGGCTAATTTGTTCAATGGCTGCTGTGCACTGTGTAATATTTGCATTTTTTCTTTTTCTCCTTTTATTCCTCTTCATTTTTAGTGCCAGTTGGCATAACAGTCAACTCTTCTGCACTTTTTTGAAAATAAAATTTCACTTAAAAAAAATGATTAATTTGTTATGTCCAACATATTTCCTTGTGCTAACTTTCCAAAGCCTAGGGATGTTTCTCTTCTACCTGAACACATGAATATATACACACACACACACACACACACTTTGAACTGATTACTCTCTCTCTCTCTCTCTCTCTCTCTCTTTATATATATATATATATATATATATATAAAGATATATTGGCTCTTGCAGCTGGAGCTTAAGGAAAATGTATTTTTCATAAAGTATATTTAACTGAAATTGTCTGGAACCAGAATTAAAATAGATTTTCAAAGAGTTGAGTAGTTTCTCTATGAAAATAAAGTCTGGAATTTCTTCTTTGGTAGACACAGTAGGTTTTCTGCTGCAATAGTAGTTTAAGGAATGGAAAATCTTTCAGGCAAAATCCATTACTTTTGCCTGCTTTAGTCATAAATTGTGTCGAATGCCGGTAACTCAAAGAACTGCTCCAGGTGTAAGGGGCTTGGGAGATCCCTCTGGCTCACAGCAGGGTCAACACTAAATTCAGACCAGGTTTCATGGGGGTATATCTTTTTGGGTCTTCAAAACCTGCAAGGGTGAAGATGAGGCAACCGGTCTATACAACTCGCTCCCCTGCCTGACTGATCTTATGATTAAAAAAATTTCTCCTTAAATATAGTCTGGATATCTCTTGTTTTGATTTATGCTGGTTGACTTCATTCTTCCTTATATGCACCACTGAGAAGGGCCTGGTTCCGTCTTCTCACCCACAGATTCAGACAGCTGAGTACTTTGCCTGCTCTCCCAGGTCACTGATACAGATATTAAAGACTACGACAGACTCTGTGGTACCCCACCACAGAAACCTTTGAGACAGGAATGGATTCTTTAAGACAGGAGAACATCCCTGCCCTCTCTCCATTCGCAAATGTAAGCATTTTAACACAGGAGGCAATCAGGTTGGTCAGGGCATGCTGTTCCTAGTCTCCTTGGTTTCCCTCCTTTCCATTCCCAGAAATGTACTCCAAGAGCACCCATTCCATGGCTTTCCAGGGACTGAAGTGAAGATGATTGACCTGTACTTTTCCTGTTCTCCTTCTTGTCCTTTTTGCAGATGGAAAAACCATTAACTGGGAGTAACGTTTGCCTTTTCAATTGTCTGGGTCCTCCTCTGACCTCCATGACCTGTTAAAGATGATAGACTGGCCTTGCAAGGATACCAGCCAGTGCTCTCAGCACCAGTGGATGCAACCAATCATGTCCTATGGATTTGTATAGACCAAGCTTTCTCAAGAAGCCTTGACTCGATCCTCTTGCACCATTGGTAGATTTGAGCCCTGTTTCTAAGCCTGGAGGCCTGTGAGACCTTCCTGGTGAGTTATGAGACAAGACACCTGGTGAGTTATGAGACAAGACATCGAGTACCTCATTCCCATCTACATCAACTACCCTTGCATTTTCCTTGTTCAGCCTTTTACTGCTCATATAGTTGTTGAAACTCTGGTTGTGGCCCTTGATATCCCTTACAAGTATCAGCCCAAAGTGAGCTGCAGCCTTCCTGGCACCATCCCTGTGGCAGGGACAATGGTTCCAAGTCTCCCTCCCGTGTAGCACTTTGTAGGTGTGGAGGTGGAGCTCGTTATAGATGAGGCTGAGGCTGTCATACATCTCCAAAGGGTGGGTGTGTTTTTTTTTTTTTTTTTTGTGTGTGTGAGGACTTACTCTCAGTTTGAAGAAGAAATGCAAAAGCAGATATTTCCTCCTGTGTTTAGATCTAAGAGCAAATCTCGACTTTAATTTCTATTTTCTTCTTGTACTGGGGAAGCACAGTGTCTTCAGGCTCTTACCTGGCTGTTAACCCCGGTCAAATATTCAAGATAATGTTTGGATGAGTAGTGCTTCTGAATCATGAGTTGCCAGGAGAGAGTATTTATAGCTGCCATTAATGTTTATAGAACAGAAGAAACATAGGAAACTTTGCTTACACTTGAAAAAAAGTTTTTAAAAGTGTTTATTCTAGAAGGCAGAGTTTAACTCTGATACGATTACATGATGCTCATGATATTCCACAGGCCTGGGCAGATCTCTGGATGTTTTTTCTAGGGCCATAGTGACCTTTACATGCTGTGTTTAATGGCAACTTAGAGAAAAAGCAACACTATTTGCATATACACTGATATAATAGATTAGTCCATGTTTACATGTATAATCAGTGAGTCACCAGGTAAGTGCCAAAACACTGAGGAGAACAGAAGATAATAGTTCACAGCTTTGCAAAGTTCTCTTTCAAGGTAAACAGTCCTGTGTTGCTACTGGTGTGTGATAATTTTATCTCCATTATATTTAAAGTAGGTGTATTCAATCAGTCACTGAACAAATTAAAGGATTAAGGGATTTTTCCTGCTCTTGTTACCTTCCACATGTTGGGGGAACGAGTTCCTATAAGCATTTTATTTAGTTCCTAGTGTTTTATGAATATGTATGTGGTTCTCGGAAGGTTAATTCATTTTTTTCATATACTCCACGGTGCTTATTTCTGTTAGCTTCACAGACAATGGAATTAATTTCCGTGTGCAAGTTAACCATGCAACTACTGAAAAGTGGATAATTTTTTCAGCCCATTTAAATATGTTAAGGATGAGGAAATGTTGTTAGAAGGTGGTTCAGTATCTTTGTAAAGGGGTATATGAAATATATTTTAATCAGGAAATCTGTGATGTATAGATACTGTGTAACATTAAATTGTATGTGAAAATATACAATTTCTCAATCTATATTACAAAAGCATCCTAGATCTAACTTTGTGAGATGTAGATGGACACATGAATGTGAACAGGAAAGTTAATTTACTATTTTTTCTGTAGCAATTCTTGTTATGAGAGAGTGTAGAGTTGCATCATTACTGCATGGCCATAGCAACAAGATGATGAAACCAATATTTCAACAGCTGCTTTTTTTTTTTTTTTTTTTTTTTTTTTTTTTTTTTTTTATAATTCCTGGTGTTGGTGTTTCTTAATATTTTTCAACAGAACTTGTAGTCTATGGGAAATCTTGAATGCCGGTTTTTATTTGAATCACAACAAAACCAAACTGAATGCAAATTGAAAGCATCAAAATTCTCTGGAAATCAGAAATGCTAAGTTTTGACATGCTGTATATAGCAGTCTTTTCTCTCATCAGTACAGCCAACCTGAGTCAATACTCAATGTGGTTCTGTGACAATGACAGAAAAACAGTAGCGAGTGATGGGAAAGACTTTGGTGTGTGTGTGTGTGTGTGGCAGGTGTTGGTCACTTCTGCCATCCCAGAAACTGGTAATTCATTTCGAAGGCTTTCTCCATTTCATGACCTCGATGGAGATGACTCAGAATATTTCTGAATTTATTTATTGCAAAGTTTTATAGGCAGACATGATAAAAAATACTTTGTTGAACACACTAAGCTCTTAAAAAAATATATTTGTTAAAGCTTTGTGTGAGCGAATGTGTGAGCTAATGCAAGTTAGCTTGGAGAGATAAAATGGACTTTCCCTCAGGTATGGTCCTGGGATCTGTTCTCATCCAAGCAGGGTTTGTCTGCTAACAAGTAGAGAAGCATCCTTGCAACCAAACCCCTGCACATTAGGAGATACACTACCAGAAGATATGGTACTGTAGAATAATGACGACCATATTGACTTGCCTTTATTTATAGTTTGTAATCAATGAATAACCTTTCTTCCATTAGTATGACTAATCAATAAATCTTTTATATTTTACTATTTCCCAGTATATTGTTGCAAATTATTCTGTATTTTATAGGTTCTATGAAAAACTCGTCCTTTTGCTTTAAAATTGCATCAGATGATTTGAATAGCTCTCAAGCTGCATTGTGTGAAACAGTGACTACTCCAGAACTAGTCACCTTCCAAATGCCATCTGGTCATACCTGCGTCATATGGGACTGGATCAAGCCCTTTGCAACCTGCTCTGACCCCAGAGCTGACCTGCTTTTCACTGGAGCTTGGAAAGGGACCTCCTGATGTCCCCTCTAGCCCAAGTTTTTTTTATGAGTCTGTTTGTCCTACCTGTCCAGTTTCCTCCAAATTAACGAACTACTCTTACATTACATCATCTCTCAGCTTCTGTAGAAACTATTCTGTGTTTTTGTCATCCTCATGTTTTTGTCCTTATTTTTTTTTTCCAAGCAGATCTTTTACCTTCTGCTGCAAACTGGATAGTAGGCTACGCTGAGATTGGATCAATTTAGGTGATGTGCTGAGCTTTGCTGTCAAATCAAGAGCAACGCAAAACTGTGCCTATGGAAAGAAATTCAACTGCCAAATCTTTGCTCTAAAGAAAGAACTGTCCTGTCAATAGCACCGGTTTACACAGACAGCTAACCTGGAGAACCGAACCAAGAGAAAATATAATGGATTTAAATTACTTTAGGTTTCTAATGACTTCTCCTGCGTTTAAACCAGTGAGCTACCAAAGGATTTATTTTTACTCTATCATCAGTTTTAAAATGTAGCCAGTCTGGTATTTTGTTTAGGGATTTAGGTTTATGAAACGGCAATTAGGGATCACTCTTTTTTTTTTTTTTTTTCCCTTTCTTTTTCTTTTGGTGTGTGTCTGTGTGGAATGACTGCATACATACCAAAAAAAAAAATAGGGTTTCCCATCAGGAGTGAGACTAGGAATTTCTGATGAATGGATTTCAGGCTTTAGATTCAGACATACCCTGTGCTGCTAAACTCACGTATGCACACCTAAGCTGTCTGTTCGACAGAACCCAATGTCTATTTCTGGTAAAAGAAAGAAATTCAGGATTCATGTTTCACAGAAGACAAACAAATCAACTGTGAAAGTTAAAGTTTCTTTAAATCCATATATTAATATATGCAGTGCATAGAAATGAAGTGAATCAGGACTACTGAATTATATAACATATGTAATCCACTATGCTGTAGTCTTTAAAACCATTTCAAGTTTCATCGTTAGAAGCCCTTTTGTACTTATTTGGATTTTATTTATAACACATACATACTCTTTACAATATATATTATGTTATAGTACTTCTTGTTTAGGAAAGGCAGGGAATAGTGGTGTGAAAATTAATGATAGACAAATAACATGAAGCCAGACAGCTAGAATTAGTGCAGGTTACTAAAAGGGTTTGTTTTAATGTACTTGAAGGGAAAAATACTCATTTGTCCTACGCTAGTGCTTGCAGTCTCTGTCATGTCTAGGTGATATTGTGCTAGCATTGTGTCTCAACCAGAAGAGAAGCAAACGGAAAAACCATTAGTCTGCACAGATGCAATTTTCTGGAAGTCATCATTTTTTTTTTCCCTTAGTAATTGTGAAGCAATGTCAGAATTTAAAAAAAAAAAAAAAAGCTTTTTGCTGCTGTTCCAAAACTGCTGAAACAAGTGTGGCAAGCAACTATTCAAGAGCTAGATGAACGAAGACATGTCTATGAAAAGCTTTTCAAGCATCGTAATGTAACTTCTTGCTGTCTAAGCTTGCATACCTTTCACAAAGTTTTCCTAGTCTCCCCTTTGCAGCTTTTTGGCTGCAAACCAAAGGCATTTTATTTTAGTAGCATTCTCACAATTCTGGCCTGTTTTGATGTGATTACACTCTTTGTTATAAAATGCTTTACTCTGGACAGTTTCTTTCTGATTGCATGACAGCATTGATATCTGAGAGGACAGAAATAGTTTCTGGTTTTACAAATTGGTTAATCAAATTTTTGGTTAACCAAATTTTCAGTTTTTCTGTACACTCAAAACCTTCTAAAAGCCATAGGAGTTGCTATTTTAGGTTATTTAAGGTGTAGTCCTGAAATTTTCATCTTATTCCAATGCTACCAAGTGACTCAGTCCTCATTTCTCCCCACTGTCCTCTAGTTAAAGCCATAGATAGTTTAGGCAGCTACAACAAGCTTTACTATTACAAGCAACTTGGGAAGGTTTTCCAAAAATCAAAGTGATTTAGACATCTTCAGACAATTGAGATTCTCTGAATCATCCTCTGTAGGTGCACAGCTCTGTCTGCTAAGTATGTTGGGGAAAAATCGTTCCTTTTTGGGTCTTCTGAGTCACAGCTAGGTTGGATTCCTAAAGTAGTAGTAGTTGGATCAGACAGGAGGTAGACCACAGGCTTGTCTCCTTCCCTTAGGAAGAAAATTTCTGGGGGTTGTCAAAGTGAGTGCTGCTGGCCCTTACAAGCAGTAGGAACTCAGTGGCCAGCAGTGCAAAGCAGCCCTTAACTGGTCTCTTAACAGAAAACTTTTCTCTTTGTGCAAGTGGTCTACAGCAATCACAGAGTTGTGCCCTCTTGTACTTGACCCATATGGTTTGAGGCTGGCCACACTCTTTCAGACCAAG